ACCTCTGTGCTCTCTGTTTTCACAGATGCCATCACCTTCTGCAATGCCAGAGGTGCTGCTGGAGACTCTTTGGCTCCCAGCAGCCAAGCAGAGGAACAATGTCTCTGGAGTCTGCACCCACACCTCCACAGAATCCCAGGATGGCTCAGGCTGGAAGGGACCACAGTGGGGCAGCTGGTCCCACCTCCCTGCTCCAGCAGGGCCATCCCACAGCACAGGGCACAGGATTGTGCCCAGCTGGTTCCGGGATATCCCCAGTGAGGAGACTCCACACCCTCTCTGGACAATCTGTTCAAGGCTCAGTCAGTGCCCAAGGAAGAAGTTCTGCCTCCTGTCCAGGTGGAACCTCCTGGGATCAGTCCCTGCCCGTTCCTCTGGTGCCATCGCTGGGCCCCCGGAGCAGAGCCTGGGCCCTGCTCGGAGCCCTCCCTGCACACAGGGACACCCAGGGCTGAGGGCCCCTCTCAGCTGGGGCTCCTCTGGAGGCTGGACAGCCCCAGCTCCCTCAGCCTTTCCCTGCCAGAGATGCTCCAGGCCCTAAATCATCTCTGCAGCCTCCGCTGGCCCTGCTGCAGGAGCTCCATGTCCCTGCTGTCCTGAGGAGCCCAGAGCTGGACATAGCTCTCCAGATGTGTCACACAGGGCTGGGCAGAGGGGCAGGATCACCACCTGACCTGCTCTTCCCACCGTACCCCAGGCTGTGTGTCCTGTCCATCCACCCAGGGAGGCTCAGTGTAGCTCAGCTTTGGGGCACAAATTATTTCATTGCACAAGGAATTGCCAGAGAGAACTAAACCCATTCCTGCAATTCTTAATTTGTACTGTCTATGACCAGCCACATGCTGCCCAGTTCACCCCCATTTTCCACCTTTACCCAATTGCTTCTTAGCCACAGTACAGAGAGAGATATATATTCCTTCAATTACTCACTCTTTCCCAATGGAGAGGCTCTCCCATGGGAGCAGCTCAGCACCAAGGGGCAAGTCTCACCTATAGGGAGGCAGGGAGATGGGGATTCCTGTTCCATTTCCTCCCTTCGTGCAGAGAGAGTTTAAAACAGTGTTTACAATCAGTGGAATGACTCAGGAAAGCAGGGCTCTGGCAGGGTGGGGAACCTAATTTGAAAAAATAAAAAAAAAAAAAGGCAATGACTTCTGCTTTATACATTGGCTGATATTCAGCCATCAGTACACAACAGTACACAAAGGACTTTTCTTCCTGAGCCATTAGCTAAATGAATCAGCAGAGATTTCCAGCAGAGTGTTTCTCCCAGCAGAGTCCCATCTCCTGTTCTCCGCAGGCTGGGAGGGCAAGTATCCCTCTGCCACTGCAGAGACAAACAGGACACAAACAGGAAGGTGTCTTTTCAAAATGTGAGGTTACTGTAAAAATAAATCATGACTCTTCTGCGGAGAACAGCAAACACAAATTATGGGAAATATTTTCAGCCTTTGCTGCTGCAAAGGGAGCAGATGTAAACAGCCCAGCTGCCACAGCAGGCTGACACCAGCTGTGGGATGGCTCACAGCCCCGCAGCTCCAAGGCTGCCACAGCTTTCCCAGTGTTCCCAGTGCTGTGGTGAGGACAGCCCCCTGTGCTCCCCAGGGCTCTGCTCCAACCAGCCCAGCACACCCACACTAGAGCACAGGACCCAAACTTGGAGTGGGGATGTCCCCATGAGGGTCTCCAAATAATCTTAATCACAGTTCCTTTGTTTCCAACAGAGGCTGAATGACACAGCTGTCCAGAAGTCATTGGAGCACCTTCCCTATGGAGACAGGCAAGTAAAGTTGGGGCTCTTCAGCCTGGAGAAGGCAAGGTTGGTGTGTGGACACCTCACAGAACCTTCCAGTAGCTGAAGGGGCTACAGGGAAGCTGGAGGTCAACTTTTCATCAGGAACTGTAGTGAAAGGGCAAGGGGGAATGTCTTCAAACTGACACAGACTAGGTTTAGATAGGATATCAGGAAGAAATTATTCCCTGTGAGGGTGCTGAGGCCCTGGCATGGGGTGCCCAGAGAAGCTGTGGCTGTTCCATCCCTAGCAGTGCTCCAGGCCAGGCTGGATGGCACTGTGAGCCACCTGGGCCAGTGGAAGGTATCCCTGCCCTTGGCAGGGGAATGGAATGAGACGATCTCTAAGATCCCTTCTGACACAAATTCTTCCATGTTTCTGCAATTCTAAGGCTCCCAAGGCACAAGGAAGGTTTGGGCACCTTCTGGAGCCTTGGGCACTGCAAGGAAGAGGCTGTGCCAAAGCCCCCAGGCAGGCAGGTGGGATTGACATGGGAATATGAAGGTCTACCTCCCCACACTCCCAAAAAAGAAAAAAAAAAAAAAACAGAAAACAACACCCAACTTCCCAAAGCAGCTGGGTTGAGAAGGAGTGGCCATGTGACTTCCCTGCTAAAGGTGAGAAAGGCAAGGATGAAATCATCTTCCTGCAGAAGAAAGGGAGATTGGCTCCCCTCCCCAAAAACTAGAGAGGCTTTTATCTGTCAGGGAGTGCTGAAGGATCTGGGTTCCCTCTGCCCCAGCACCAGAAAGTGAGATGGACCCAAGGGGCACTTTGCTCCAAATCCCTGAAAACAATCAAGGGACAAACTTCTCCAGCTTGTTTAAAGTACTGTAAAAATCTACAGTGAGCACAGAGGGCACAGGAAGTAAGAAAGAGGATGGCTTCTATAGTGTATATAACTGGAACTTTTAAACTCCTGGCTATTTACAGCTACCTTGCTGTAAAATCAAACACTTCTCAGCAGTTCTTTTCTCCAGCAACAACCCTTGGGAAACAGCTATCACAGCCCTGGGCTCTGAAAAGCTATTGCCTTAATGTTCAAAATTTACCAACCCCTTTTTCTAATGGATCAGGCATACATGGGATGTGGGACACACAAGATCAGGAATGTATTCCTGAAGTTGGTTTGATGACTGAGCCATACAGGCTCACCTGGCAGATGCATTATCAGTGCTGAAGGTGTGATTATCATTAAGCTAAATGAGGTCTCACAGATGTTTCCATGCTCAGCACTTGCCTATGGAGATGGAGGGCACTGGCAGGTGATTGATTTGGGTTTGGTTTGGTTTGGTTTGTGGGGGTTTTAATGTGTTCTGCTTAGCACAGCTGCATGAAGGGGAATCAATATTTACCACCCAGCCACAGATGATTGTCTCATCTGATTTGTAGCAAAATTTATAATAAATGCAAAAACTTATTCCTGCTGTTGAACTAAATTAATGCTGATACTTTCTAATGTATCCCACCTTACAGAAACTAAGAGGCCTGTAAGGAAAGGTTTCTCTTGTAAAACGAAGAGTTAGTTCACATGAGTTCATGTACTCTCATAACATAAAACAGGACTTGTTTGTAGAAAATAGTGCCTTTTTGCTGGCCAAGGCACACAGGAAAAGGTTAATGTACCAAATTTACTGGGTTACACATCAGCTATTTAGAAGTAGCAGGAGTTTAAAAATTAATTATGCTAAAATATGCAAATAGGAGATAGACACACACATATATGCACTGTCAGCTTAACAGCCACAATTTCAGCAACTGGACAAAATTTCACCATGCTTTTCTTCTGTGAAAGTAAGTTTGTGACAGTACCCTCACTCCCATTTCCAGTCTTAAAGCCACTGTACTGCATGAGTCCAACAGAAATACATCTACAATCTACCTTGTCAACTCAAAAAACAACCAAAAACCCAACAACAGTTGACAACACACAGAGCTTTCTCTATTTGCACCAAGTCTGACTCATTTAAAAATCCCGACTGCCTGGCACTTCCAGTTCAAATGACAATACAGAGGCAAAACAATTCTCCACACTTCAAAGGAGACTCCAGTCAGGCAGCCATGGAATTTGGAATTTTGATCCTGCTCACCCTAACAAAATGAGCCTTCTTGAGACTTAACATGAAAAGGGAATAGGTAATGAAAGTACCTATGCTGTCTTGTCTAACACACACCTAATTCCACTACAAATTGCAGCAGGGAGAACCGCATGAGGAGCCTGGAATGCTGGGATTCCAAGATACCAGTGCAGCATGGATTGCAGATGCAATAGGGAGGGTCATATAAGGATGGAAGGCTCTTCACCTTAGTGAGACACCTGCCACATGGTCAAGGGCTGTCACTGCTTTTTCCAGAGACAGCACTGGGAAAAAAATCCTGCCTGTGGTTAACTCTGGTTTGGCTCCAAAGCCAGCAAGAGCACAGAGAGGATGAATCTGGCCATCCATGTATTCTGAGGTACCCACCCTTTCCTCCCCTTTCGTATAGGAAAGAAATCACCATTCAAAAGTCCAAGCCCAATTGTACCTGGCAAGTTTAACGCATGAGCATGGAAATAAAACAGACCATTCCCAAAAAGTTTATATTTTACCCAAAAGCTTAAATGCAAAGGATTGGCCACTTCAAAAATTTCACTGTGCTCATTCACTCCCCAAAACTTTTGAGACTGCAGCACATAAAACTCAGCGTTCATGTCACATTTCGACTGGGAATGCTGCAGACAGATTATGTGAGCTGGGGTGGGGACTGCCACCAGACCGCATACCCAAAGCCTATTTCTGAAAATGTGCATTTCTCAAAAAGCACACTGAATTATTTTCTTCTTCATTCTAGGAGAAGGGGCAGGTAGGGCTGAACAAGCTGGCATTTTGTTGGTTTTGTCCTCTTCCAAACCTGGAAGGGCTGGTTTGGGATCCAGGCAAGATTCCCAGCCAGCCCTCACTATGATGAATTTTGCAGTCATCACCAGGAACAGCTTTCAGAGTGGCTCGTAATTGCAATGAGAACTCCTATTCACACGTCTTGGAAATATTTGTTTAGGCTGTTCAGCTGAGGATGAGTGAAGCAAGTGTGAACTAATGAACATTCCCAACCATTCTCAGCTTATTACAGGTAAGAACTAACTTTTGCTGTAGGAAATGGAAATTCTGGAATAGCCACACAAAGCTGTAGACTCAAAATCTGTCCCTGTCTATACTGCTTAGTCTTTCAGTAGTGTATACCACTGCCAGACATAAGCCAGTGTTCTACAGGAGGAAGAAAAAGGAGAGGAGCTGCAACATCCAGTTCCTGCCGGATGCTCCATGGCGAGACTGAAACAATAGGCAGTACCAGGTCTTATTTCACAAGGTACAAGAGGGACACCCTCATCACAGTAAATATAAAAACTATTTGGGCATTGTCTGTGTCTAGAAGCCAGTGGACAGACTCAGGGTTAAACACAGCAAGTAACAAAGGAAATGCATGGCCCTCTTCCTACAACATGATGGTCCTCCCTCACAAGAACAGAGCCTGATATCCATTTTAGCCACTCATATTACACATCCTACACATCCAGGTGGTTACAGCTCCTCTGGGAAGCATAATTCCTGGGGACTGCAGCTCTCAGAATGAACAATCTCTTCACTGGAGTCCTCTGCTGCTTACCACTGATTTTAGAGAAACAGATGAAATGTGTCCCAGGCAAAGCAGGAGCCAAGATGATCAAGCCAAGTTCAAACAGATCAATTCAAATGGGATACTAAAGCACTTAATAATAGACAGGGATCTGGTACACTGTCAGCATTTATAGTTACAGTGCTGCTGTTTATTGTTACAGTTTTACAACAAAAATAATTTTTTAGAAGTAGTTCAAAGCTAGTACCAAATCGGTGGTGGACTTCCAAACAACACTTTTCTGCTGTCTGGAGCCCCAGTTGCTGGAGTTTCTCCTCCTGTTTTGCATATATCTCATTCCTTCTGGTTTATCTTCCTGTGTATTCCAGGACAGCAGCCAGACCTTCTGACACTTGCATGATCTGGAATTTTCACCCATGAGACTCTGGTTCCTGTATCAGCTCCTTCCTGTCTGAGGGTTTGAGGGCTGGTCAAGACTAAAATTTGTTAAGAAGGATAAAGCCAGGAGACTTGCAAAACAACAAAAAAAAAAAAAACAACAAAACAAACAAAAAAAACAAACAAACAAACAAAAAAAAAACCAAAAAAATAAAAACAAACAAAAAAACAAAAAAAAACCAAAAAAATAAAAACAAACAAAAAAACAAAAAAAAACAAAAAAAAAAACCAAAACAGAGCAGGAACTTTTATTGAGTGCAATATCCCTGCTTCTTTCTTCAGCAAAAAAATAATCATGGCAACAAGAAAAAAAATACAACCAAAAAAAGCAATAAAAAAGTGCATCTGTTGCAAATATTATCCTTGTCTCTTTTTGACTCTTGTTTTGCAGAGTTTAAAATAGTAATTTTCCCTCTTCCTTTTTTCCTCAGAGTGCAGCTTCAGTCATTAGTTTCTTCTTTAGTTTCTGAAAAAAACCCCAGATTCGTAAGAAAATGTGACACAAAATACCTTGAATTTTTCAAATGTTTTACATCTCGAAATTAGATACGCACCCCTCACAAAGACATCCTTTCAAAGACTATTTATGGCATATGACACCTTTCAACAATTCTAGAGTAAGGTAATTCTGTTTCCAAGACAAAAGCCTGAGAATCCAAACAGAAAACCCTCCCTTCCTCTTCTCCCTTCTTGGTGAAGTTTCACCTTGAAGAGAAGTGTCCATGGCTCTGGAAGTCTTAGAAACAATCAGTTCTGTGTAGCCATACAGCTCACAACAAATGATGTCTGAGAAAATACAGAACTTCACCACCTATTTTAGTGACTTTTCTGTCACCATTTAAAAAAAAACAGATGGATCTAAGAACTAGGTATAAGATAGGTGTAGCATCATGGGAATTGTCTCAGGCAGCAGCTCACAAAAAACATTTGCTAGAGTTTTCATCCTACATTCAGGGGAGCTACTGCTGTCTTGGAACTCTTTCCCCTCCTCTTTCTCCAAGAAAACATTTAGCTGATTACCAACAATAGTCTCTCCTTTCTTGCTGCTGCTCTCTAAGTCCTCTTTTTCAGCGAGTGCTGCCAAGTCTGGCTCTGTTTGGTAGCTCTGGTTGGAACTTTGCTCTGGTGGTGTCACTCCCTTTTGTCTTCCAGTCTCTGGCATGGATTCCAGTACTGTTCCATTGGGCACTTGAAGGAGATATGGCTCTGTGAAGTATTGCCCTCCTGCCACACTAGAAAAAGGCATTTGGGAATGCAGCTGATTGGAGAAAGGAGCTCCCTGCATGTAGAAATCACTCCAGGGCACAGCTGGATAGGCAGGGATATCTGCTGAGGAAAAAGCCACCAAGAAAAGAATAATGAAAATAATGCCTATGCACAAGATGTGTGCGTTGTGCTTTACTCAGCGCAAACACAGCACTGCTGTGCAGCAGACACCACACACAGAGCAAGGATCACTTTGCTCTTTACTCTGCAGTGTATTTAACCAAAACATGGTTCTTAGGAAGAAAAGCTTACGAAGTTCATAGCATTGTTATAATCTAAAAAAAAACCCATGCCACTCAGCACTGATCCTGAGTGTATATGATGATAGTAGACACCCCCTCCGTTTTTTTTTTCCAGTCCCATTTTCTAAATTAGCTCTGTCAGGCATAAGATGGATACTTAATCTTCACTTTCATTTATAAAAGCTGTAAACCAGCAATATTTTGTTAATTAATATCCATAATTCAACTAAGCTGCTCACTTGCTTATGTGCTGATGTAAGACTCACAGGTGTGTCTGCACTGATAGACTGCCCTGCACTTTGGGAATCCTGGAACCTTTTCAGAAAGAAATTCTTCCCTTGTGAAGGCACTGGAACTCAGAGGAGTTGTGGCTGCCTCATTCCTGGAAGTGTTCAAGGCCAGGTTGGATTTGGCTCTGAGCAGGCTGGGATAGTGGAAGGTGTCCCTGTCCATAGAAGAGGGTTGGAACTGGATGAGCTTTAAGGTTCCTTCCAAACCAAGCCATTCCAGGATTCTATGATTCTGTGAACTTGGTCATCCCCACTGCATAACAGAAAAGCCATTCACTGCTGATTGTGCTCTGGACAAAAGTATTGAATAAGAGAATATCAACTCTGCCTCTGTTCCTTCGACAACCTTCCAACTTCACCAGCTTGCACCTTTAGAAACCCCTTGATGCGCATACAACATGCCCCACACACTTGGGCATCAAGCTAGAAACACATTTAATTTGATGCAGTTTGGGGCACAGCCCTCTTATTTCTGGCACTTCAGACTGAAAAACCACAGAAAATAATAATTATACCTTGGAACTAGAGCAGGCAAGCAGGGCCATGTGTGTTAGATAGTATGGGTGCTGCCAACCTGTCTTGAACAATGTCAGCTCTGAAGAGTGGGGACAGGAGCCAGCTTGCAGCCTGATGTGAGTCAGACTGAGTCAGACTTGCCTCCCTGACAAGGTCCACAGAACTGGTACAAAAACAGCAGCAGTATCTGTGGCCTAAAACTCTTTGTTCTCTCATGTCATAAGACAAGGGATGGAACTTTTGGAGCATGACCTTAATTTAATAAACCTGTCAGTCCAAATGAATTAACTACAACAGTTTGTCATTTGATTATACTTGGGCCTGAATAACTTCAAAATACAAAGCCCTAACACAAAACAAGGAGATCAACAATGCCATTTTTACCTAGGAGGTTTTTTTTTTTTTTTTTCAGAAAACTATGCTGGACTGCCTTCATCTCAGTGCTGTTGCAAATTCAAGTCAGAGGAAGAATCTGTGTCCATACTCTGTTGGCTCCTGTCTCTCTCTTCTTTTGCACTACCCTAATATACATAACATGATCTCAAACTGGTTTCTGCAGAAGCCAAACAGAGAAGGCTGTTGGCTCCAACTACCTCCAACTATCCCATCTGCTGTGGCATCTTTTCCACTTTGCACCCTTGACTCACCACATGCAACAAAGGGATGTTTGTGTACACAACAGGACACTCCTGAAAAACTAAAGTTACTCTCCAGTGCAGCCAAAACTTCTGCACTATATGACACATTCACATTTTATGCTCTTCCTGACATGTGCAGTCTGGGTAGTAACTTCTGATTCAAATGAACACGTTACTCAGCACTTAAAAAAAAACAAGCATACAAGGAAATTAAGTGATAAAAAGATGGGCACATCTATAGATTTGTGCAGGCATGTAGACCATTCCTTCTTTCTGTCACAGTCATCAGTGAACCCACTGATCATGCTGAATGTTTCAGGGTATTATTTAGTAACTCCAGAGGAGCGGGATGCCAAAATAGTTCAGAAATTTACCTGAATTGTCACTTGGCTGCTGTGGCATGACTCCCCCCATGTGGTTTTGTACATAGCCTTGTGTGGCTCCATAGGTTATGGCTTCCTCAGGGAAAGCTGGATGGGACTCCGGGGGTGTTGGAGGAGGAAAGTGGTCACTGGAGAACATATTGTTGGCCAGGTGACCCTGGTGACACAACTGGGAGAGCTGATAGATTCCCCCCTGGCTGCTGTACTGACAGTAGGTGGCCTCCAGGTTGTCTGCAGGCTCCAGCTGCTCCGGATAAGGGCAGGAAACTGGTGAACTGAAGCTGCAGGAGCAAGGAGAGAGGCAACCCAGAGATTAAAGGAGGGTCAACAGCTACATCAACCTATCCAATTAACAACTGTTTTATTGCCAACCCTTCCTCCCAAATGCCAGGCACAGAACAAGGACAACAAAAGCCACTTGATCGAAGTGCTTTCCCAGCAGGGTCCCTGAACAATGGGAATTAGTGGGTATTATCTTCCCACTCTCCAAAGCACCCCCAAAGCTTGAACACCCTCACTTTCACTTGACAAGCATGCAATTCTGAGAGCACTCTGAGTACAGGTAGCACCTGTCTCACAGTAGGCATCCTGTCCTATTATGCACTCTATACAGCTTTCCATACTCCCTTTAAAGGATATCGTCACATCTGCCCCTCACTTTTCATTAATGCTCCCACCTAATTCCTCATCCCCCGTCCCACGTTCACCCTCCCAAGGCTTCTCCCAGGGACTGCTTTTTTCATCTCTCTCAAAGACACTCTCATCTGCCCCTACCCTTGATTCTGGACGCTGTAAGAGAAGGCTTCCCCGGAGCCATTTTCCTGACGGGCCAAGTTGCATTCACTGCTGGGCGTGTCCAGCATCAGGGGAACAATGTGGCTGTGGGGGTCGAAGGCCAGGCTGAGCGACAGGCTGGCCCTGCGGATGGGAGGAGGGCTGGGAAGATTAGGAAAGCACTCCACACCGCTGGTATCGAAGAGCAGCTGTGGCAGCACCTTGCTCTGAGCTTGCGCTTCACAGGGTGCCACCATTCCTGCCACCGAGGAGGCTGTGAATAAAACAGACTGTCACACTGGGAATCTGCAGGAGCAAGCAGAGGGAATGCCAAGAGGAGCAGGACAGAAAAGCAAGATGCCAGTGAAAGAGTGGACGTTGTTGATGGGAATAAAAGTAAGTGAGTACTAGCACTGCTGTTGAGAAGCAAAAGGGAGTAGTAGCAAGCTCTCTGGAACACAGAATGATGTTTCTTGGTTAAATAAAATTACCTTTGTGATTTCAGTCTCTGCATACTATCTTTATCCAGCTCTCAAGAAGGCAGCCAAATGAAGCAAAGTACTTTTTGGAAAAGAGCCAGGAACAATTCCCAAGTCATCTTCCATTTCTACGGTCCTCCGGGAGGAGTGTGCTGCACAGATCACCCTTTAGAAAAAATGAACTGTGCTTTTAAAGAAACAAAGCTGTGCCTTTACAAATCCACTGTCTAGGCTGTTTTGAAACACATTTTCACTCCCGGTTTGGCCCCCGATGAGTCATGCCAAAAACAAAAATTAAAAAAGTAGAAATGGCAGCTGAAGGTCCTTGGGAAAAAGAAGATGGGAGATGGGAAACACCTTTTGGTTGGCAGAATCTTGTTCAGTGACCTGTCTCCTCAGTGACTGCTGGAAAAGAGAGAGGAACAGTCTCCTACAGAACAGCCTGTGTGGAAAGACACAACAGAGGAAATTGAAGATCAGAATCAGGTATGCTGGCGATCCAGAGTAACAATTATACTCGAAGCTCAAGAAGCTTGGGCATGGTGCAAGAAAATGAGTTTCTCTCTTATTATGGCAATTAGCAAATGGTTTCTCTCTTCACAAATGCAGTCATCACGTGTGCAGGAAGCTGCAATGATTTCTCCAGTCTAGCTAGGCTGAGCCAGCCCAAGGATGAGGAAGAGAAGAGAAAATATCACCAGCTGCTCAGGTGAAGCTCTCCCACACAGGCAAAGCTTTCACGGAAAGTCTCAGCTGCACTTCACCCCTGCAGGCATAGAGAGTTACATCAAATGCACTCCACCAGGTGTGACTCAAAGGCCTTAAACACAAACCTAAACATAAAGATGCCACAACAAGTATTAGCAGCCTTTAGAGAATTTTGGAATGCATGTCCAGAGAGCTGATTAGGAGTTTCCACTTCAACATCTTGCAACTTTTCATCAGCAGTTTCTCAGATTGCTCAGTGTGCTGGGCAGTTTTGTGCCTCTTATTGCACCTTCCCACATTCTGGTTTTTTCCATCTCTCTGCAGCCATGGAGAGAAGGAATCAAATGTTTCAATGAAAACGTTTCAAGTTTTCAATAGCCCGGATTTTGGGCTTAGTCAGAAAACTGAAGCAAAATCTAGGATGGCATCTCTAAAGCATTCACATACCCAGGCAGTTCTCAGTCGTTTATTTTTTCTGTTTGACCACACTATTTATCCATGCCAGGCAGCATCTCGGATGTACTTGTTGCATTCCTGGGGTTTGGCTTAGTTTCATTTCATTTCAGAAATGAAACTGAAGACCTCTTTTGATTTTTTTTAAACCCTTCTTTAGCACTGGTTGCCCTGACCACTGTGCCTCAGAATGTTCACACAAACATTATGGAACAGCAGCCATGGGGAGCACAACTTACCTGAAAAGCAGTCTATATCCAGGTAAAGCTCCAGTTCAGTAATGACAGCTGTTCTGCAGATGGCCCTGCTCTTCCTCAGGATGAACACAACCAGCCCAGGAAATCACTTCTAAACCCACTTCCATACCTACTAAGAATAATTTAATTTTTAAAAAATATTTGCAACATTTAGTGCAGGTAATCTTTGTGGATCATGGCAATAGGATCCTCAGGCAGTGAGACTGTGAGACAGCACCCTCGATCTCCAAAGAGCTGGTTCAGCCTTTTCTAAAGTTTCCTCTGCTTCTCTGTCCTTTCAAAAAGACACTGACATTTTGCCTTCTAAATAAAGTCACAAATGCAGTAAGAAGAAACAATTCCCAGAGAAGTCGTATCTGCTGAACCTGAAATATCTACAGAAGCTTCCAGAGTTGTTCCATGAAGAATTCTGACCCCTGGCTTGACAACGCTTACATTGTACAATTCTGTGTCTCTTCCTGATGCTGATGTAGAGAGAGAGAGAACCTCAGAAAGCTTTCCAGTGAACATGGGAATGTAACAGTAGGATTTTTATTTCTTGCTTCCATTACTTCTGGGTTCTCAGTCCATGAGACAACCTTGGGAATTTCTGGAGACCAATTTAATAATTTACACCTTCAGATCTCTGAACCAGTCCTGGCACTACACTTGACTTAACTCTAGAATGGTTATTCTGTTTGCAGCCTTTACTGGAACATCAAGGGCCATCACAAAGCTTTTGACAGACTCATCCTTGTCTTAAAATTATAAGAAAAGAAATTTTTTCAAAATTTGTTTGAAAGCCAGAGTCGTATTAAGTGAAGTAATTGGACCTTGTAATTATTTACTGTTCTTTGACAGGCCATATCCAGCTTCATTTGCCTTCATTGCTCCCAAGATTTCCATTACAATCCCATCTCTGCCAGTGAATTTAATCACCTTGCTATTTGCTTAATAGAGTTACCTGCACAGGCTGGGCTCCTGACAGGTGTCTCAGCAAGGCAAACATGAAACAAAGGATTTCCTGCAAAAGCACCAGTGGGACAGAAAAATCTCCTCCCACAAAAATCTCTCTACCAGAGGTACAAAAAGGAACTTTTCTTTCTAATGGGTTAACTCTAAAGAAAACATAAGCCAATTAATCACAGATACATATGTATCAGCAAGAAATCTCAGAAGACCAAGCTTCAAATAATTGCCAGTGTCTAAAAATGCAGCCATTAATTTCAATCATGCTGTCTAGCAAAAGTGAAAAAAAAAAAAAAAACACCAACAAAACATTTCTAAGATCAAAGCAAGCTCAAAACTGAAGTTTTGAGTCACAAAAGGCTCTTATGGCAAGTAGTGTGGCTACTATATCCAAATCAGAAGCCATAACTGCCAGCAAGGTAACACACTCCTCAAATACAACTCACTGACATTTGAAATTAGCTTGTTTGGGGAATTGGTAAAAACAGTGAGACATTAAAAAAACCACCAAACCCACACACCAACAGTCAGAACTACTGGATAGAGCAAGGAAAAACAATGGAAATTGCAGCACTGAACACTCTGCAAAGGTCTCATGCACTTAAGTAATTTTCTTGTCCTGGTGAAAGTGGTTAAAAAGAAAGCACCTGAATAGCCACTCCAGCAGGCCACACTCTGTGGGCCCAACTGCACCACAACACAGAAATCACAGAGGCTTTTGCTGAAACCATCCATGAGCTGTTTCCACAAGGGACACCATTAAGCAATTGGTTTTGCCTTGTAAATTGATAACCTTTTTCATTCATCTGTTTCCTCTTTTGAATTGCTCCTGTTAATTTGGATTTTATCCTATCCAAGTTTTGTCTCCTTCATTTTCTGAGATACCCTAATAAAGAAAAGGGGCAGTCCATGGATGGCCATATTTCTAGGCAAGCTCTTTTTTCCTGAACAAGAATGCTGAATGGATTCAAGTCACACTGGCTTTCATTTTCCTTCTGTTTCATTTTTTGTTTTCATTTTTAAAGAGAAGAAGTCTGACTTTGCAATGGTAATCAACAACAAAAAAGTGAGTTTTGTTTCCCATAGCTGTGTTATCCTGCACCTAGTAAGGCAAAACTGCAACTGGAGCTTTCCAGGTGTTTGTGCCACGCAGATCTCTCTTCTACAAGGATTCTGATACAAGTAGTATCAGTCTTTTCTCTCAGAGAGGACACTTGCCCTTTTTCTTCCTTACACATTGCACCAAGAATTCAGATGGGACCTTTCTTTTCTATCAGAAAGGATTGCTTGTGTTTTCCACATGGAGAGCTGGATCTCAGTGCGCAGATTCCCCAGAAGGAAATGGATCAATGCAAGCTGAGGACAAGATCATGTCCCTGAATTAAGCTTTATTTCTCTGACAGACATTATCTAACAGGGCAAATAGCTTCATGCTGAGAGACAGTAGGTTTAGGTTGGATATTAGAAGGAAACTCTTCCCTGTGAGGCCCTGGCACAGGTTGGCCAGAGCAGCTGTGGCTGTGCCATCCCTGGCAGTGTTCCAGACCAGGTTGGATGGGGCTCTGAGCAACCTGGGCTAGTGGAAGGTGTTGCTGCCAATGGCAGGAGAGATGGAATGAGATGATATTTAAGGTCTCTTCCAACCCAAACCATTCTCTCATTTCCTGATATTCTCTCCTGACTAAACAGTGTGTCAACTGAGGTACTTTAGGAACCGGGAGAGGTTCCTAAAGCATAAAAATCACAGGATATTTGGTTTGTTTCCTTTAAATTAACTGTTTCACAAAACAATTGGTTTCTATCCAATTAAATACAGGGCTCAACAGACTTCACCACTTCATCACTCTGAAAGCAGTGAATTACTCAAACATTGTGACCATATACTCAAACATTTTGACCTCTGTTACAAGAAGTGGAAAAACTGGAACTGACTGAATAACAGTTAAAAAGGTCATTGGATTGAGGAAAGGAGTCGTTGCCTTGGGACGATGGCAGGTAAATTTAAATGACAGAAGTACCAGACTAGGTTATAAAGCAAGTATTTCAATTACATACTTTTAGCAACACATGAAGCATTCTAAGCTTACAGTTGCTTTCCCCCACACCAAAATACCTTTAAGGTAAAAACACTATTAAAAAATTTGAGTAATTTCTTAGAAAATGAATTGCAGGAACTGGCCTTAATACTTACAATTAAATACTGATATATTTAGAATACAACGAGGGGAAAGACATAATGGCATGACATTCCAAAGAATTAATTACAGTGGGAAGCAGGAAAACACACACAGCAGTACCATATGTCAGCATATCTACTGCTTGGGATATCCATCCCTAAGGAAGTGGCGGAATCCTCATCACTTTTTGTATTGTGCCAACTTGGAAACACAAATGTATCTAGGAAATGCTTTAGGGAGCACTCCTGACTCGAGGGAATGCTCTTGGACTGCACACATCAATAAACAATTAGACAAATCCTCTCTCTTTCATTGCCATCAATCTTTTAACAGAGATTGGGTAGAAAACTGGTTGAACAGCACACCCCACTGCCTTAAAACTCCATTGCAACAGTGATTAAATTCATCCCTCAGCTTTGGAACTCAGCTACTCTCACTCCCTCAAGGTCTCGCACAAAATGGAAACCTGCCCTGCCTGGAGAAGCCAAGGAAGCCCCTTAGGATGTTTTAAGGTGTGGTGTAGCTGATGGAGCCTTCAAAACACCAGCAGTTCACAGAGTTCCCCTTCCTTACGCAGCTCACGTGGCTCATGCTGTAACCAGAAAGTTTCCATCCAAACCACAATATGGGGAGTGTGTATCTGCCATGGAGAACATCAGAACCAGAACAACACTCCCCTCATCGTTTACAGCAGCAGGACCAGGGTCAAACGCCTGTTATAGAAGAATGCCCTGCTCACTTATGCTTATGAAGTCCTACTCAGAATTCCTTGCTGCCTTGTGCTAGGACAGAAACAAGGGCTGCAAATCTGCCTCACAGAGGCACCACCATGCTGGTAGATAACTGGTTGAGACTCAATCAGCAGTGAGCTGTCATACCTGCAGTCACAGAATCATTGGAAGAGACCTTAAGGACCACCTCATTACTCCCCCCCTGCCATGGGCAGGGACACCTTCCACTGTCTCAGGTTGCTCAGAGCCCCATCCAACCTAGCCTTGGACACTGCCAGTGATGTGGCATCCACAGCTACTCTGTGCCAGTGCCTCACCACCCTCACAGGAAAGAATTTCTTCCTATTATCTAAACTAAATTTCCCCTCTTTCAGTTTGAAGCCATTCCCTCTTGTCCCACCACTACAGTGGCTGATGAAAGGTCCCTCTGCAGCTTCTCTGTAGGCCCCTTCAAAAACTAGAAGGTCTCCACAAAACTTTTTCTCCTTCAGGCAGAACAGCCCCAACTTTCTCAGCCTGTGGAGTGATGTGGTGCTGCTTTTTGCACTGATGGCACAAGGCTCTGACATGGCCTTTCCTAAAGCCTTTGGGAACCTCCCAGCTCCACCAGCTAATGCTGCAGCTGTGCAAAACACACATTCTGGTCAGGGTCTCACCTGAGGCAGAGGTGGGTGATGGAGGGTGTGTGCTGAGCAGGCTGGAGGAGTTCCCAGCTCCAGGGTCTCCTCCCAGCACACCAGGCTGGTCTCCAGCAGTGTCAGTCAATGGAGGCACAGGCAGAGGAGGTACCCTGCAGCAGACACAGAGGACAAGGCAGGGCATTGTGACCAGTCATGCACTCCTCTATCTGACAAGGGGCAGATCCTACATCACCAGCAGGTGCAAAGGGAAAGCACTGGCTGACTACAAGTGCAAGGAATGCTGTATCAAAAGTCTTTGGGGAAGCAGCCCCAAGTCACTTGAATAGGAGAGGCAGCAGAAACAGTGCAATGGAGTAAGGTGCACTTCAGTTTCTCCTCTTCCACTTAATTTTTCCTCTTTTCATTCTGTTTTCTTCATAAGAAGACACTCACTCCAGATTGCCATAAATACATCCCCATGGAGATTGATTTCTCCCCTCAAGCATTCACCATCCCTTGAAAGATCCTCTTACATATTCCCTTTCCCCCTATTAATGTCCTCTGCTCACATATGAGAAGTGCTACCTTGGATTTCTTCAAAGAAATCTATGACTTTCTAAGACTGATGTAATCAAGCAGCATTTCCATCAGCAAGTGAAAATCCATGGAAATGGAAAGTAGTGGTGGGAGAACCAGGTTAAAAGAATCCCCAAGCACACTCAAAGCACCTGGCTGATGCATTCACAGACAAACTAAAAATGAAGAGATGATTCCATAAACTTCTCCACCTCATCCCTTGCTCTTTACATGATTTCAGCCAGAGCAATTTCAATTGTTTTATTTCAAAATTAATTTGATTAATCTGTGTTACAGGTTAATTAAAAGGACTTTTAAGAGGGTCCATCACAATTTGCCCAGAAATCTGACAGGCTACCTAGATCCAACTCAATGCTCAGCTGTTCACTGTTAAAAGGTGAAGGGGAAATGGCAGAAGAAAATATTTAATTGCTTAGGTATCAGTTGTGGAGAAATGAGAAAACAGAGTAAGTTCCTTACCCATAGCCCTCTGATCCAAAGGGGACAGACAGAGCTGATGATATTGGGTATTTTCTGTTGCCTTTTATACTCAACTTCTGCAATTTCCGCCACTTTGCCCTGCGATTCTGAAACCAGACCTGAAAAATGGGAAGAAAGGAATGAATTCAGGGAAGAAACCATCTACACATGGGAACTCTGACAATGTCCCAGTCCCTGCCCATCCCTTTTCTGCACAGAACCCACAGGCAGCACTGTCCCCCAGCAGACATTACCAGGATACGCCGTGGTGTCACACCAACCACAGCTGCAATCTCTCTCCTCTTCTCATTGTCAGGATAGTGGTCTTCCTGGAACATCTTCTCCAACTCTTCTAGCTGCTCTAGAAATGATGCATTGTCCAAAGAGAGAGAGAGAGAGATGGGAAGTATGTGACAAGAAAATAAGAAAAACAAAATTAAAAGGAGAGGGAAACAAAAACAAAAAAAAGAGAACATTTTTACTATACTAGAAATACATGAGTAACAAACGATTTTTTAAAAATAAACCACAAAAATAAACAAAAATCTTCGGTTGTTTCAAAAGCAAATAGCATTGCTAGTGATGCTTCAAATGAAAGACACTCAGCAACCTTTATTAGTGGAAGTCTTCACACACTTAATGGTGTGGAGTGCAGTGTGATACTAGTTAGAGCAGATCAGCACGGGGAAGGGAACACCAAGTGCCACTGGCACTGCCAGTGTCACTGTGTGCCCCGGGATCTACCTGCACTATAGAAGGTGCGGGGTTTCTTCTTGACAGGTAAGGATTTTTTTCCCTTGGCCACATCACAGCTGCCTCTAGACTCCAGGACTGAAGAGCCCTTGTAGGAATTCTGAGCTGCAGTACTGGTTGGAGCACCTGTGGATTGGTGAGGGGCCAGGCCGATCTCCTCCTGCCTGCAGGCAGCTCCAGCCACTCCACTGGATGCTTGTGTAGTTTTTTCCTTCTTTGCCACCTTTTCAGTCCCAGCAGGGCAGTAACTGTCAGAGTGCTCTTGTGACCCTGACTGATCTGTGGGCTCCTGTGCTAATCCAACCTTCGTGTCACCGCAGAAATCCAATGGTTGCTCACAAGCCAAGGCAAAGTCGTGCTGGCCATCAGGGACAACAGAGCCTTTGGAAGACAACCCAGTTGCCTGCAGGGTGCTGCATCCCCCATCTTCTTGCACCTTCTTTACAGAGCTATTCCTGTCTTCTATTCCCAAGTTATCCTCAACTATTTCTTGTCTGACTGTGCCTGGGAATGCAGGTAGCACACTACTCCCTGCACCGTGGCCACCAACGGCATCAGCATCCACCACAAGGTGCTCTGTATTCAGCAGCATGTTCTCCTTCTCATCCTGGCACTCTGCAAGGCAAAAATGAGGGAAAAAAACCCCAAACCCCACCCCACATGCCCATTGCCTAAGCTGGATGTGGCTGGATCGGGAGTTTCAGTTATGGGGGAAGGAAAAGCCCACACAACAAAACCCAACAAGAACCAGAGAGCTGAAATAAAGACAGGTGCTGGCAGGAAAGCAACAGCAAAGAACCTGATACGGTCAATATGGAGATGTTCAAACGTGTGATGAGAAAAGACTAATTTTAAAAGCAAACTGTAAACTACAGAAGAGGGTAATTCCAGACACAGAGAATAAAGGGAAGCTTGCATATTACAAATACAGTAGTGGGAAAACAGCCTCAAGGGTAATACAGGTCTCTGGAATAAGCAACAGAACAAAAACCTGACAAGATCCTGCCCCCTTATTAAAATGAGCAGAAGAAAGAAGCAAAATTCTGGTCTGCTGTGTCAGCAGGGATTACCTGACAAATGTCATCACTTTTTAACTTTTATAGAGTTCTATCATACCAAAGCTGGCCAAGCAAAAAACCATTAATTGTACAAACTTCTAATAACTGCCTCAAATTACTTCTCTGAAGCTTCAGCCACACTTCTGAATAACAGATTTACGGGATAGGGAGCGAAATAGGGGGATAAGGACAAAATTAGGTACAGAAGTCCAACTAAGTTTAACAAAAACCACAAACTGTGTTACAATAAGACAGACTAAATAGTAGAAGACAGGTCAGGAAGAACACAGCAAAAGAAATAATTAAAACAGGCAACAGAATAATATAGAAGCCTTATACTTTCCCAGCTGGCACATACATTTCGAAATAAAAAGTCAAAAAAATCTCCCAATTGGCTCAGAATGCATGAGTCTGCATGATTTCTGCTACTTAATTTTTTTTTTAAGTGATTGTTTCATAAGAATGGGAAGTAGAATAATAAACCCAAACCCATGTATTTGCCTCTGTCTGGAGAGAAGAAAGTTTGAGCAGACTGTTGGCAGCATTTCAATAGCACATGACAACAGAAAAACTTGATAGTTTAATTTTTTGGGGAAAATATAAAAAATAATTTCATTTCACTGTGCTCTGCTTTTGATATATATTAGAGCAATGCCAAAATAAAAGATTTGCTTCTGCCTCAATGTCTCTTTCTGAAACAACTGTTAATCAAGGAGGAGCCCCACAATTCCAAGCAGACCAGAGAAACTTCACAGAAGTATGAGGGAATGGCAGGCTGCTCCAAGAGCATCTCATTTGCTTTTTATAGGATTAAGAGAACCAAATTAGTTGCAGGGGAGAGAAACAAAAGCAGGAAACTACGCAGCTATAATAATTAGCTCTTGTTAAGCAGCAACAAGTTCCACTGCAGTTAAATGAGATTAAATATCCTGATGGGGAGGGTCAAGAATTGAATGAGGAAGAAGATGTCTCTGGTCTATATAACTCCTTTTTCCACCATCCTCCTGGTTGCATCTGAGCTTATCTCACTCATTATATGAAAAAAAAAGAGTATGTGCCCATTATTTGCGCAGGGTTTTTACTTGTTTCTACATAAACCCCTGTATGTGTTTACCGCACAAGTGTCCAAGTCTTATGTGGGTACCTTGTATCTGTAGAAGAAATGGATACCTGGGAATTTAATATTCTTTACAGAAACAGTCCTCCAAGTGAAAGTAAAGTGCTGTGTTTTATTTCTAGAACAGACAGCAAAAATCTCACAACCATCTGGGACTGCCAAGGAAAAGAGATTAAATGAAAACCAAGTTTGGAGAGAAAGATGGGCCTTCCTGGTAACAAAAGGAGTTTTAAAACCACTCCTTTCTCCCCTCTGTTCAGAGACCAGACTGAACATCACTTTGTCCCACTTTTAGAAAAACAGAACGTTAACTAGAAGGGATTTTAACGAGCGGGAACGAGTCAGGAATAGGTAGTCTAGAACACCTGGTGTACTTGCAGCAAGTCAAGTCCCCTTTTCCATCTCACAGCCACCTCCTTAGACATTCCTCGGAAAAAGCCAAGCACTTGAACCGCAAAGTTTTTAGGGTTGTTTGGGGCATTTGGTACAACGCCACCTGAACACACACACGGCAGGGGACAAGTAACAGCCCCAGAGGTCCCTCCGCACAAGGAGGGACAAAACTGGACAGCGGGGGAAGGTGCAAATGAGAAACCCCGAGGCAGAGGGAGCCGCCCGGTGTGACACAAAGGAAAGACCCCCTGCCCCTGGCCAGGTGCTTTTACAAGCAGGAGACACGAGTGCCGGAGAATCCATCATTCCCAGCCGCGAGGCCCAGGACATGGAAGGCTAATGAGTGGCCAGATAATATCGCTGAGGAGCGATTATCCTCCCCTGGGGTTGCTCATTAGGCTCATTGCCGGGTGCCTCCCCCCAGTCATTAAGTCGAGCCGGCATCACTCATCCCCCCTGCCCTCATCCACACCCTTACCACAGCCCATTCCAAGCCCTCCGGCCGCCCGCTCCTCCGGCCGCTGCTCCTCGCCCGCCCCGTCCATGGCGGCTCCGTGGCGGGCCCGCTCCGGCCCGGCCCGGTTAATGCCCCGCCCGGCGGCCCGTGCTGCCCGGCGCCGGCCGCCTCATCAAGGGCACCTGGGCACAGCGCGGCAGGCCGCCCTGCCCCGCAACCCCAGCACGGGAACCACGCTGGGCCCCTGGTCTCCACACGGAGGGAACGGGACTGTTCCAGCCTCGGTGAAGAATGCTCCTCGTGAGGAGCTGGCTAAAATGTCGTCGTGTGCACCTTGGTGTTGCAAAACTCGCCACCTGTGGATGAGGGGAACCTCCTTGTCAGGACTGCTAGACCCAGTTCTGGGCTCCTCAGTACGACGATAAGGAGCTACTGGAGAGGGTCCAGCGAAAGGAAACAAAGATGATGCGGGGTCTGGAATATTACAAGGAGAGACTGCAGGGTCAGGGTCTGTTCTGGCTGCGGAAGACTGAGAGGGGATCTTGTAATCCATATAAATAATCTTTAATGGGTGGCATGAGGATGGTGCCCGACTCTTTTCACTGGTGGCCAGCAACAGAGCAAGGAGTAATAGCCATGAACTAAAGCACAATAAGTTTAATCTCAATATGAGGAAGACCTTTTATTTCCATAGAGAATGGCAGAGCCCTGGAATAGCTGTCTAGGGAAGGAATAGAGTCTCCCTCTCTGGGGACATTCCAAACTCATCTGGACATGTTCCTGTGTCACATGCTCTGGATGACCCTGACTAGACCATCTCTAGATGTGCCTCCCAGCCCTAAGAATTCTGTGATTCTGTTGTTTTCCTGTGGCCTGGCAGGAACACATTTGTTTAGGTGTCCAGCAGCTTGTGGTTCTTCAGCAGCTGGGGGCTGCAAGGAACAAATGGCATTTCCTGACTTGTGGGCGCTGTAATTGGCGTCCTTTCAATGCTTAACAATTCTTACTAAAAAGAAGGCTCCTAAGAGAGCAGCACCAGGCATTGCTTGCATGAAGAATGAGACTCGTGTTCTGATGCACCAAAACAGAACATCCTTCATCCTCCTCCTGTTTATTAGCTCATCATCGTGTTGCTGGCACAGTGCTGTTCTCCTGACTCAAAATTCCTGTCTTTATTTCAAGGTTCACTTTTGGCTTCTAAGGCCTTGCTTCTGCACATGCTTTCACCTGAATCGTTTCATCAGGTTAAACGAGTGTAAGCTGAAAGATCTGTTCCAACATTTTGGAGCCAGTATAATTGGTCTAACAGTGCACCTAGTTCAGCCATCAGCTGCAAGAAGTTGGGGCTAAAATGGCATTTAGTTTGTTAACAGGATTCAGCTGACAAGACACAACGTCTTGGAGGGTCATGGGACCCCTTCAATATTAGAAAAAAATGCAAATACAAAAATCACTATCTGCTTCAAAAGTTGTTTCTGAGCAAGGTTGTGTTTATTTACTGAACTCTGGTCCCAATATCACCTTTTTTGTGAAAATAATAAGAACTGTGGAAAATGCTTTCATTTATTTTCCTTGAGGAGGGACCAACACAGGTCTCCAGCACCAGGAATTTTTGGGGGTTTTTTGAGCCATACATATATGTGTTTGTGTGTGTATATGTATATATATATATGTATATATAAAACCATGTATATATATTAAACGACTTTATACTTATATATACATATATATATTAAACTACTTTATACTTATATGTATTTTAAACTACTTTATATTAAAAACATCAGCCATCATAAAATTTGATTTTCAGACAAACACCCTGACTTCTCTGCTTCTCAACAAAACTTTTTAAATGCAGCTAGTGCTTGTACTTCACTGCTGTCCTTTTCACAAAAAGAAATTAGTGTAACTGCCCTCTGAGAGTTGTCTGTAATTATTTCTTTTTTTTGGAAATCCTGAATTTGTTTTGTCCATATACACTGTGTGAGTCTCCACAGGTTCCTGGGGAAGATACAGTGGCACCTCTCACAGAATCTTGGTGGATAGCAGGAAAGTGTTGGGATTTGCATGACATACCCTATGCTTCTGTTTAATACTGATTTGCTGGTAAATCAGGTAATCCACATTAGATAACGTGGGGAGAAATTGTGGCACAATTAAGACTGTCATAGGACACAGTAGGCACTCCGCTAACTTGATTCCTGTATTGTGAATGTGCAGTTGGGAGGGATATTGTACTAGTTTAATTAAGTTTATACAAATCAAAGATACATCAATCAGTTTCAGTGTAGATTTGTTTATGGATTTTGGTGGCAGGATGGTGCTGGGGCTAGAAGTTTAACTAAATATTGAGACGTTGAGGCCTGTCTGAAATGTAAGAAATCAAAGTAACCTGGTGTATAAGCACTTGTTCTTAGAAGCGAAAGCTGACCTTGAAATGCTCCTCAACATACAAAGGCCTGACATCAGGAAATTAAGGCTGTACCTGTGACAGGGACAAGTTAACCTTTGATCCAACTAGTTAAAAAGAGTATAGAAATACTGTCAATCATGACAACAGTACCCTTGAAGCTTCCCATGTCAAGTGGAATTTTAACAACATATGGAATTAAGCATATAAACCACTTTGGGAGGCTCTAATGAACAATCTACTGCTTGCTTTCAAGAGCAGAATTTGAAAGAGTAAAGAACTCTCAACCTGAAGCGTTGAACAAGATGACGTCTAATTTAGAATGGGAATATGTATGGCTGGCTCTTCCTGGATGAAGCTGAAGTGGATGTGGGATGCCTCGACTGCCTGTGTGAGATGACCTTACACAGCTGAACTGATCCCATGGTAGCGTTCTGTGTCCCACCTGACACTGACAATCCTGGGGACTTGGAACTGAATAAATTCATGACAGCCTGGGACAAGCAGGCATTTGGGATATCTCAGTATTCTGGGTCTTGCAAAGGATTATAACCCTTCTTCTGTGAGTCTGAGGTAGAGCTCTGCTTTGGCTTTTAGCTCGGGACCAGCTCCAGTCCTTCTGGGGGGGTGGGGGGGAAGTGTTAGCAGATTGTTGTCTGACCATAGATTACAAGTTGAATAACTGGGTCCTGTCCTTCTGCTCTAGTGGGCTGGACTCCCATTTTCTGTAGTTCATCCCTTCAGTTTACCTTCAGTTATGGATGACTAACACCACTGTGGAAGAGCTGCAGCATCAGCTCTCTAGGGCTGGGGATAATACTGAAGAACCTTAAGGCTGGATAAACCCAGCTTTCCTCACTGTCTTTGCTAAAGAGAACTGTTTGTACTTAACAGTCACTTAGAAAGGAAAATTGTAACAAAAAAAAAAATACTGCATGTATATTCAGTAAATTGAATTACTTACACTTGAGAGGAAAACCTAAGTAACAAGGCAAGGAGAAAGCTTTTTAACTGGAGAAGTGCATGAGTTTATTAGGACTAAAAGCAACATTTTTCTTTTAATCCAGCTAAAATTATTGATATAAATAGGCCATAATAAGCTATTCTAGATACAATGTAAATGGGATTTAAGGGCAGAATGTTATAGAGACAGAAAGCTGGATATACAAAGGTAACTAATTCTTCAAATATATTAAATGCAAGAGGCTACACGTGGCTTTCTTTGGTGTATTGATTCTTAAACTTGATCTTGCATTGACTGAGCTGAACACTTTAAACACAGAAACAGTATTTTACACTTGAAGGCATATCCTCAAATAGACAGGTTCTGCACAAATGCATGTAAACTGGACTTAAAACCAGAGAGTCCTTAAAAGAACAAAGACCCTGGTGCATATTTTGCCTTTATCTACAGTGGCTAAATATCTTGGTGCTCTCCATAAGTGTGCAAAATGGTGCATGCAATACCACATCAGCAATCAGAGTAAGAGCAGCACTAAAGTGCCACTTCATTACATGTGCCTAGTCTTGGTTATTTTGTACGGGGCGTGAACCAACATCAAATATTGATCTTTGTCAAAAGTCACTGATCTTCCAGGGGGAGGCAGAGGAAAAAAAAAAAAAAAAAGGTCAGTTCAGATGGCTTGGTGGGATGCTTGTTCAGAAGAGAGGTGACCTTTGTGAAGCAGATTTCTCAGCATGATACTTCTTATGTGGGGGAAATCATCATGGTGTCTTCTGAAAACTCTGCTTAATTCCAACGGATTTTGTAATGCTGTCAAGGACTCTTAACAGCATTTAGATAGGCAAATATTTGCCTATCTAAACCCCTGTAGACTTGCATGATCTAATACATAAATTGCCCTAAATGGAAATTACACTATGGAGATCAACGCCATGAAGGTATCCAGAGGATATTCAAACGGAATATTCTCCTCAGCTCTGTTGTGCTTTGCACTTAGCACCTTCCTTCTCAGGAACTCGAAGCTCTCAGGCTGCTAATACTAGTGAATTTAGCCTCACAACATGCAGTGAGGTAGGTAAGTTTACCCCCATTTTGCAGATGGCAAAACTGAGGCAGAACTCTGAAGTGACTTGCATAAGGTCCCGCAACTTGTCAGTGGCAAAACCTGGAATATACTTCCAGAAGTCCAGACCCCAGACCTTTGTCCAATTTAAGTCCCTCCCTACTACCACAAAGCAAGCAATACATGCAACCTTTATCCTTCCTCTTGCTGCCATAGTCCTGCTGACACAGAGGAAGTTTTTCCTGATTGGATTCCCGCTTTCTTTGGCGAAAAGCGCCTGGTCCTGTCAAAGTGCTGTGTATTATGCTCTTCGCAGAGGCATTTCTTCTGAGGCACAATGGAAAAGCCATGGTTTCCCCATGGCACAGAGACTGTACAGGTCCAAACAGAGTCTTATTTCTTGCAGAAGACCTGCTGCTTGGCATTCTTCACCCGTTGCTCCTCCTTCAGGTTCTTCTGCCGTACGTGTTTGCTGGAGATGTTTTCCACATGTTCCGAGGGGAACCAGCCTCTCTCCCGGTCTGAGAGTTTTACTCCTTCTATCCACCCTGTGGTGTAGGGAAAAGCACAACATGAGGCAAGTCACATGTTTTTTTCATTGTTTCCCATTAAAAAGCCCCCTTCAAAAAGACCTTAAGGGCAAAGGAAAAG